CCCCACGGGGATGCCTGGCTTCCCGGCCCAGCCACCGCAGCAGCAGAGCCTTCTGGGATACCCTCCGGGGGTCCGACCGCCCATGCCCGGCTTCCCTGGTACACAGTCACCAGTTTACCCTCTTTATAAACTGGTGTACAGGTGAACGGCTCAGGCCTCCTGCAGCTGGTTTCACTCTGTCACCATCATTAATCTGTTTTAATCTGGTTCAACAGTGTGAAACGTGAAATAACAAGTTACACTGGGTCGTGTGGCGGCTCGGTCCAGTCAGGTGGACACATTCACAGCTCAGGTTCTTTGGATACAACAGAACAGTTTTGGCAGCTGCTTTGGACTTGGTTTGATTGTTATCAACAGAAACTAAAGAGTTAACTTTGGACTTTGTCAGCAACACGTTTAATTTTGTGGTCAAACCACTTCCTGGTCATGGCATCAGACAGTTGATCCGCCCAATGTGAGGCCTGTCGGCACTTTGACACTCACGGACCAACTCGTTACTTTGTGTTGTTCAGAATGTACCACAGTCGTCAAGTGTGTGTCTGTGTGTGTGTTGCAGGCGGGGGGCCTCCCTACCCCCCCAACCAGTTTGGGGCCGGCCGTGGTAACTACGACAACTTCAGAGGTCATTTAGGAGGAGGGGGGGGGTTTCCTGGGAAGCAGCGAAACAGCAGGTAGAGAGAAGACAGTACGCAAACTGGTTCATTGATTATGTATTGTCTGATTATGTATTGATGATGTCTGACTGTGTGCAGGGGCATGCGAGGGGACCCACGGTCGATCATCGAGTACAGAGACCTCGACGCTCCAGACGACCTCGACTTCTTTTAAACATTTTTTTACTTTTTTATTCCCATGATTCCTTTAACTTCCCTCTGTTATTTGTCTTTACGTTGTTTTGGAGTAGGACAAACTGTAGGATGGCGTGTCTGTGTGTGTCTGTGTGTCTGTGTGTGTGTGTGTGTGAGTGAGTGCAGGACCAATATTGTTGTCAGTCATTAGTGATGATGATGATGATTCGTTCCACTTCCCAATAAAGATCCATACAGGAGGATGATGAAGCCGTGTGTTGTTGTGTGCTGTCTGTACTGACGTCGTGTCCTGTGGTTCCCTCGGGGTCGACGACCTCCAGGCTGCGTAGTCTCTGTCACAGAGTATAAAGTGAAGCACAGCTCAGGAACCAGTTGATCCTGCAGAGCCACCGAGCCGACTCTCAGCAAGGCCACGGTTACAATGACGCAGCATTTTATCTGTACACGAGGAAAACATTTAGAGAACGTAGGGTTTTAAGGAAGTGTGTCCTGGTGAATTAACAGTTTATGATAAAATATTAGTAAAACAAACCAGACTGAATAAGAGACAAGTTGATCTAAAAGGTAAAAGGACAACTCACGGCTTTAATTTGATCTTTAAATGGGAGTTTGTGGGAACTCTCACTTTGCTGGTTTTAAGCTCATCAGTGTTTGAACAAAATGTGAGGATCTAATCTGATGTGGGACCAGCAGCCTCATGTTTACACCAACCAGGAGCCTTGGACCATAAGACTTCACTGACCTTTACCTGTGGGGTCGTGTGTGTGTTGTAACTCTTCAGAGTTCAGTTAAATTCCCAGAGGAGCTGATGGTGACTGGTTGTAAGTTAACGAACATATTTTATTCAGCACCTTAAAGACAGGATGAGGGTGGCTTCTCTCAGCGGCTCCTCTCTCCCCGACTCTCAGACACTGGTGTTCATCTGAATGTGAGTGAGCGGCTGTTTCAGTGGGAACCACAGACTGAAATGGGTTGGGACCCTTCTGTCTACATTAAAAAACATTAAACTTGTTGCTTTTGATTTGTGATGCAACACGTCTTAAATAAAGCACTAGGTGAGGTATCAGGAGCTGTAGAGTGTTGAAGCTGCCCCTTGTAGTCAGGCTCTGAGTGACACCTTGTAAACTGCTCTTCAGGGTTGATGGCGCCTTTTTCCAGCTGTCAGTTTCAGCTCTTTAACAAATCCAACATTTGTAACATGGTTCCTGTAACAACCTGGTGAACTCTGGGTGTCACCGTTACACTGGTCTCGTCCTCGTCTGTAGCTTTCTCCTGCACCACGTCCATAAAAGTGTCTGGTAAAGCAGAAGTGTTCTCACAGGAAACACCCTCAGCAACCAGTTACAGGCTCCGACACTAGAGGGCGTCAGTGGCATGTCGCCTCCTATGGGACTTCATGTTTCCCATCAGCCCTTGCTGTGAATGCTGGTTGTTCACTCTCCTCTGACATCCTGTGTCTTTTCCTTTAAAACCTGTGTTTGTTGTGATGGGGGTTTACACACTGCTTTAGAGAACAACATCAACAGTCAGATGAGAAGGAAGAGGTTTGTTTTTAACTGCAGGAGCATTGGGAGGGCGGAGCGTTGAACTGGTCTGACTGGTCTGACTGGACAGGTGACAGTGGGACCAACATCTCTGCTCTGTGACTACAACCTGCACAGACAGCCTTTAAATACATGTGATGATCAGACAGGAACAATCACTGGTGGTTTAGTTTAAATGCTCTGGACTGAGGAGGAAACGGTAACAGTAGGGCTGGGGGGCGGCAGCGTCGTACATTACAGGACAACTAAACATCTCACACAAGAAAAACACAACTAAAGTCAGAGTGACGATGTCTGAGACGTCACATAGAGAAAGAACAGGGAAAGATCAAATCAGTTTTGACTGTTAGGCTAAAACGGAGACGACAAAGGAAGGTTGCCCTGGAGCTCTATGTCTCTGATGAACAGTCACCAGCCACATCAACCTGATCAGTGTTTGATTGTTGTGTCTTGTTGCTTTTCTTCTTCTCTCTCTCCTCTATC